TACAGAAATCATGATTTAAACTTACGAGTAAAGTCGAAACAGTAGTACCTCACCTTACTGTGTCAAAAAGAAAAAAAAATGTCTCATATCTTGGCTGTTGTGAATAATGCTTTTTTTTTGTTTTAGAAGTGAGATCGTTGACAAACTTAATGCCTTATTATCTATATAATTTACATGGTCTCTGTTGGGGTCTAGAGTTTAAGTCCTCCCTAGGTAATTCTAATCAGTACCAAGGTTGAGAAGCACTGTGTTAAACCAGTGATGTTTCCTGGAGGGCTGTTTGACTGTCTTCATTTCTCTCCCAGGTGAGAAAGCAGAAAGCAGTGATTCTCTTAAACATAGGGAAGTGTAAGAAATCTCCACCTTCGAATCACCTGGGGTGCTTTACAGATACCGCTGCCTGGGCCACTGGGTAGAGAACCACAAGCATACAAAATATAAGAATGAAAGAATAATATTAGTATAGATACAATCCTTAATCACCCTAATTTATATATTGAAAGTAAATCATCTTAAAACTAGTATTAGATTGAATCATATGAAAATGTTTATGAACATACATAAAAATGGTCAGACATCAATCTAATACCATTAAAAAATAAATTACTCATGCTGCATGTTCTAAATGATTGTAATTTACTGGTACCAATGCTAAGAAAAGCTGCTCTAGAACTTAGTTTATTCATTTGTAAAATGCGAGACTGTCCTGGGTGAGGAGGATGGTGACGCCTGTGCTCCGCAACGGGAGAGGCCACAAAGGTGAGAGGCCTGAGTACCGCAAAAGAAAAAAAAGAAGAGCATAAGTCAGTCAGATATTCTTCTTCTTCTTGGAATCACCAGGAATTCTCCGGGTTTCTTCCTCCTGTTTAGGGGGTGCCAATGTGCCTGACATTGGATTAGACATTGGTGTATGGTTAGGCTATTCAAGATGGATGTTTTCTTGCTCTCTAAATCCCCTGCTTCACTCACATGACTATCCAATCCTCTTAATTATAGGGCTTAATTAGTCCCTGGTAACTGAGGAGCGCACCTGACGTCAATTCCCCCCTATAAATGGTAGCGTCCTCCCCCGAGTAGGAAAGCCGGCCGCCGTGTCTTGCCTGTTGTCTACTTCACACAGCAGGCTGTTGCTCCACGGTCCTTCGTGTAAGGTCACTCCGTCCAATAAACCATTGGTGTCTCTGTCTCCAAGCTCTTTCTTCAGTCTGGAAGCTGGACAGCTTGCAAGCCTGCGGGGTGCAGCTCAACAAATGGTAATTCAAGATTAATTAAGCACAGTTCTTGTCCTCAAGGAGTCTCAGTCAAGTAGGAAAGTCAAAAGGTAATAGGACTTAGGCTGCCTCCGCTGCCTCAGGCGCTCGTAGGCCTGCCCTGGGGGCCTTCCACTTCTTACAAGCCCCCAGACCAAAGTGCGAGTTGCCGGAATGCTGCATTCATCCTTGTGGAGCCACCACGCTCTTCCTCATTATCTGCCTTGGTACCAAGGAGCTGCTCCTGCTTCTCTGCCGGGGCTGGTACCTCCAGTACCATCATCATGTAAAGTGGTGAGAGCTGCCGTCCTTGTCTCTTTTCAGATTTCAAAGGAGACTTTTTCAACTTTTCACCACTGTGCCTTCTCAAGACGCCACTTGTCTGTAGGAGGGGAACTTGGAGGAGGAAGGGATGGCTCCAGGGCTGCTGAAAACCTGATCAAAGGACTCGGTGACCTTCGGGGAAGTGGCTGTGGACTTCTCCATGAGGAGGGGGCATTGCTGAACCCTGCTCAGAAAATCCGGTACAGACATGTTGCTGGAGAACTTTCGGGACCTGGTCTCAGTGGGGTATCTCCATAAACTCAAACTGCTCACCCAGGCAGAGCAGGAAGAGCTGAGGACAGAGGGGAGAAGAATTCTCCAAGACACCTGTGCAGACCAGAAGTCTCAACTTAAAACCAAAGAGGGGCTTCCCTGGTGGCGCAGTGGTTGAGAGTCCGCCTGCCGATGCAGAGGACATGGGTTCGTGCCCCAGTCCGGGAAGATCCCACATGCTGTGGAGCGGCTGGGCCCGTGAGCCATGGCCGCTGAGCCTGCGCGTCCGGAGCCTGTGCTCCGCAACGGGAGAGGCCACAACAGTGAGAGGCCCGCGTACCGCAAAAAAAAAAAAAAAAAAACCAAAGAGACCACTGTAAAGCAGATTAAATTTGGGCCAAACCATCTACTAGCAGGAAAAGGTGCAGACCTTCTGTGGGGGAGAATCCCTGTCTTGCAAAGAAAGCAAGAAAACCTTTAGTTATCACTGATAATATCCTTAATCAACAGACATCAACTCAACCTGGAGAGAAACCCCATGAATATAATCAATGTGGAAAAGCCACCGGAAGGAATTCTAACCATTTTATGCCCAAGAGAAATCACACAGGAGAGAAATGCAATGAATGTAAAGAATATGGGAAAGTGTTTGGTTATCCTTCATCCCTTAGGATCCATGTGTGATGGATCTCAGCTGGTGAGAAGCCCTATTTAATTAATTAGTTAATTTATTTTGTGTGTATGGATGGGGCAGAGCTCGGTTGGGGCAGGGGAGGGGGCTAGCAGACCCTGACCACAAAATTGAAATGCTGGAAGGACACCTGCTTGGTGGCTGTGAGGGGCTGCATGTCCCAGGGTGGGCTCAACATGGGGACCTCCCCTGTGAACTCTTCCCAGCCATGCTTTGTGAAGTGTGGGCATGAAGGGCAGAGGCAGGTCATAGGGCATCCCAGGACAGTGTCCTGACGAAAGGATGTTTTTTTTTTTTTTCACATTATCTGCGTTCCTCTTGCTGGACCCTAAGCTGGCGGATTACCTGCTCATATCTGAGTTTGGAAAGATCACATTGTAGACGATGAACTAGTCTTTTTTACCTAACATTATGGTGCGTTAAAAATAGATGTCATTATTATCATTTTCAAATGATAGAACTAGGAAGGCCTTGGAGATGTGGTCTAACACTACCTAAAGTCATAGAGTTTTATGTTGTATTTAAAAGAACCTAGGTTGGGGAAGAAGAGGTAAAATTCTATATCAGTTTCCTGCATAGTTGGTGTAAGGAAATACAGTAATATTGCTTGAAGCAAAACTGTGTTCCATCATATTGTACTTAAAATTCAGAATGTTTTTTAAGAGGTAAGGAAAGCTAGAGATGTCTCAGGTGTTAAGTCATAAGAGGATTTTCTAGTTTTCAGGGAAATTTTCAGCAACTTAGGCATAAATCAAGATCCAAAATATGTTGGTTACCTAGTTGTTTGGAAAATAGATTTTGCATAAAAATTGTTTACCTTCACAGACAAATCCGTAGGAGTTTAATTCATAATATAGCTGAAGTTAGCACTCTTTTGGATGTCATTCATACTAGTATAAGTAAAAATGTGTGATCATTGTGGGGGGCATGTGGATTTAATGGTTCACCAGCCCTGCCAGGGCCGAGACCATTATCTGTCTTGATCACTATTGCATCTCCAATGCCTAGCAAAGCGCTTGGCATATAGTAGGTGCTTACTGAATATTTATTGAATGAATGAAATAAACCAACCACAGGAATGTCAGGCTTTTACCTGGACCATGGATGGCAGCCAATGATTTGAATGCCTTCAGGATTCTCTTTCTTAGCATTTCCATAATCTCCCTCTTTGTGTGTTGGCTTTATTCTTTCAGACCAGGTCATCCTTGTGGATGGAAACTTGGTCATGTGGAACATTTATGTCTACATCTTGTAGGTTTTGCATGAAACAAAAACTGTCTCTACTTTTAGAATTCAAACTCTAAGGGGACATGTTCTGTTTGACCCAGGTGGAATTCAGCACTTACTATTAGAACAATCATCCATGGCAGGTAGAATCATGTAAGAATGTGAAAACCTCAGATTGGAATGAGGAAAGAGGCTTTTGCCAGTTTCCTCTCTGCAGACTTTATTATCTTTTAAGAGAAGAGCCTTATCTAAACTAATGGGTTATAAAAAGAAAAAGGAGTTGGATTCCTTCTTTCTGAAGTGTATATTCTTTATCATGATTCATGATGACACGATCTGAAGGACAAGAGCCTTCAGATGTGCAGAACACTAAAGTGAAAACAAGTTACTATGGTGAAAACACACAAGAAAGAAAAGTCTAGGAGAACAACTGAGAAGTAATGAGAAAAAGCTTCCCAATGTATGTCTAGAGAAGAGAAATGTTACTTCATTCAGCCAGACGTTTCTACAATTGTTGAGCAGCTACTGTGTGCCAGGTTTTGCAAATGGACTGTATTTAGGTCAGTAAGATCTGAGGGGCAGAGTTTTTGCCCCAGACAAGCTGGAATCCACCTGAGTGAAACTTACTCTTTGAAACCATCCATGTGAAACCAACAGTGGGAAACCACAAAATCTACTTAAAGAATTATGTAGAGCTCCTTCACACAATGTTTCTTCAAGTCAAAGCAATAAGGTTGGCATTAGGAATTCCTCTCTTCGTTTTCACCAACAACTCTTTTCCCTCACCTGATCAGTGATGTAGCTATATATCCTTATATGTATGTTGGATATACACTGGTTGATAACAAAGTCTCCAATCTTCTTTTTTGTCTTGTTTAGAAATTTTTCTGACTCCTATGCTTCTGAGGATTATTTCTTTCCGTGTCTCTCTCACGTGTTTCTGATAAACCCACTTAGGGAGGAGGCTAAATGGTCTCTAAGAACCTATTATTCCCTATATTTTCTACATCTTACTTTTGAGTCACCTGCATAAAGAGCTCCCTGGGTTTTAAAGCCATGTTGTTGCAACTTGGCTTAAGAAAAAGCCAGAATGAGAGGTAAATTTTAGCCCAGTTCCACAATTATCCGGCGGAGCTTCAGTAAGAAATTGTGCCTCTATTAAATCCTGTTTGAACAATTTCCTAAATACTATATAAGTATGTGAAGTTCTGTTGCATGTACATCAAGTGAACTAATGCCAAAGAGTAAGTTTTGTTTTCCCTCATGTGTGTGTCTTCTATTTTTGAACACCTTAGGTTGGGAATCTCTTCAGACTTGCCTTCTGCAAATCACTGGGTACGGAAACCTTACTGCAGATGTGGAAAAACTGCACAAAAAATCCTGTGATTCTGATAATGCCCAACGTGAAGAAATGCTTTTGAAGGTTAGTCCTTGAACACATTTTAATCCTTCAGTTAGGTCAGCTAATGTTTTCCAAGTACCTGCTGTGTGCTAGATACTGCTCTGGGCATTGATGGTACAAAGGTGAATAAGACATGGGTGCTGTAACTGGTGGGTAAAGCCTCGTTTTCTTGCTGGTTCAGATGTTGGAGGTAAATTTCCATTAGAAAATTGATGTGAGAAGTTTAAGGTAAGGCCATTTTTTGAGGAGTGATTGACATGAAACATTATATTATTTTCAGGTATACAATGTAATGATTCGATATTTGTGTGTGCTGCAAAAGGATCACCACAATGCGTCTAGTTAACATCCAGTCTTCTTAATTATTAAGCCAGCAGGCAATAAAGCCAGTTCCATTGCACAGGTTTCCCCAGTTTGTCCTCTGTTGGTGAAACAGAAGTCACCTGAATAGGTCTTCCCTCCATGAAGGGTAAAGTGGTGGTGCAGGGGAGGCCTGCCTTGCTTCAGGTGTCACACTTGCTGTTGGTTTAGCATTGGGCTTCACAAACTTCAGGTGCCAACTGTGTAATTGGATATCAACTAGACTAAGGATAAAAGAAAGGGGGCAGGGATCTCTCTTTTCCTTTGAGGTTCAGGCACAAACACTGGGCTAAACCACCCTTTAGAACCCTTAGATCTGATGGAAGTTCTCACCTTCCTTAACCCTTGGCATCATTGCTGAGAATGAGAATCTTGAGAGGAACCACTATCTCTTTATGGTAGAATTGTTGTTGATGTTAGGCCTTACCAATAGGCACCTAACTGGGAATCATTAGAGCTCCAGAAGTCTGCTTTTTTCCTGTATGTCTTCAGGCAGGCCCATCTCAAGACCCTGCCTGTTAAGTGAAGTAGCTCTCTAGTTACAACATTTTCAGGGCCTCGTTTTCCTGAGCTTGACCTGAGCTTCAGAACTGTAGCAGGATGGGATGGGTTGCCTGGAAGGAGGTTAATATGGTGCCCTCTTGGAGTGGTTTGGGTATGTGACAGGAGAAATTTCTGTATGGAGTGACTGGCTAGCTTGGAGGCTCATCAAAGTTCACTCTAATTTCTAGGTCAGCAATTCTATTGCAGTTATTATTCAGGTGGTAAAAGCAGATAATGCCCATCCCTTGAAGGCTTTTATTTTAACCAGGCTTGTATCTGTCTAGTATTTTTACAACTGGTCTATAAGAGGTTTATCAATGGAATGGGGGATTCGAGGAGAGGACCATTATAACATTTGAAAAGTATTTTTCTTGTACCACCCCCAACTGCGACAATGATCTCAATCACTTATTATTTTATATCTTCTAGACTGTTGCTTGCCTAAATGTTATTTACATGTAGCTGGTTAGAATTGCAGACTTCGTTTCAACAAAGAAAAAATAGGTTTTGGAAATAGTTTCCTGTTTCTATTACAAATATAAACTGTTAAATATTTTAAGCTGCTAAGCAGTACTGAATTTTGCTGTTTTGCTGAGAATGTGATCAAACAGGGCAAAGATGCCTTATTCATCACCTTTCTTATGTTCTCTCGGGGTTGCCAGCATAGCAGATTATCAGAATCTTGATTATGTTTTGAACTATGTACAAACAAATCTTGTTTCCTCAGGTGATTTTAGAAGGCAAATAACTATGAGTTGCTAACCAAAATCAAAAGGGTAAATAATTGAAAATTAACCAGAAAAGGGGCAGAGTTGTTGTTTCATTTAGCCGTCTTAGGAGACCTACTTAACCAAAGCACTTATATAACATTTGAATGATACTAAGTATTATATAATTAAAATGTCCAGGAACTGCTCAATTTGATTAAGAACTATGAATTCATATGCAGAGCATTTATCAAACTGTTACAGTAACTGAGGTCTAGAGAGGTAATTAGCCTAAATTTTCATAGCTGGAGCCAGGAGCTAACCCCAGGTCTGCCTTCACTACAAAATGCATGCTTTTTTCAGGGCATCAAAACACCCTGTCTTTGGGTAGGCATGATTCCCTTCACATAGATGCATGCCATTATTTTTTAAGACTGTTACAGGCTTCCTGAGAAGTCTCTTGAGAGTATGACTGTTTGGGGTGGGGAAATGATGGGAAAGACAGAGAGAAGAGTGCTAGCAAGAAGGTTGGTTCTATTCGATTGGGGGTGTATGTGGGACAGTATAATACTTGTAGTTTTTTTCCCTGACTCTTACAACCACCACAGACTTTTTAAGACAGAACAAATGAAAGTAACCAAAACAAAATTAAGTATAATTGTTCATTTTATGGTGTTAAAATCCTATTCAAATATTTTATGATGTTTTGTTCATTCTGCTAAATGAGTTTCTTTCCAGTCTGTTTCTTAGCTGTCTTGTGAGTAATAGAATTTGGTATTTCATTTCCCAAGTTGTATACTTGACCCAGTGGTAGTGATGGTGAGGTGTGTGTGTGTGTGTGTGTGTGTGTTGGGTCATGGTTAAGGTTACAACATTTCTCCTGAAACCTAAAGGCTTGGGACCACATATAGGTAGAGTTTATGACTACCTGTATAATGTCAGAGGTATTGAAAAGAAAATGTATGGAAAAGAATATTTTCCTTTTAACTCTAGACTAGACAACAGTACTTAATGAAGATTTGTTGCTAATATTTCTCCTATAACAAGAGTTGTGGGTGGCTGTGGTCCAAGAATATCAACACAGTGGTATACACCAAATTGAATATTGGTGATTCAAAAGCCAAGAAAGGCATGGAAAGAGACTGCATACCCTGGAGCAGAACTAATCTTGGGGTTGGTTCCAAGTTCCTGATAAAGCCAAAACCCAGGGGATCTTGACCCTTGACCAACCATGAATTTGATTTCTACCTCATAAAGACCTTACTGTGAGACTCATAAGGGCAAGAGTACAGTGAAGACAGCAAAAAAGAGTTCATAGCACCCACGTCTAAGATAAACCTTTAATACTTAACCAATTTTTGACTGAGCTCAGTCAGCTGCCTTGATGCACCTCTGGCCTAGTGGGAGCCTATCCTAAGTGAGCCTGGCCTGGAGACTTAGGAGACTTATTAGTGCTAAACTTTGTGCTAATTGAGTAGGAACAGGAAAGATGATTTTTCTTACCAGGGTCATTTCTGGAACCTATGGACCTGATACAGTGTTTCAGAATGTTTTCAGAAGAATACCCTTTGGAAGTGCAAATATGGTTCTAGACTGGCTTTTCGGAGAAGGGTTCTCAACATTTTTATCAGAAAGGTTTTCCTTTTCTCAAATCTTTTGTCCCCTGAGAGCAGGGGAGGCAGGTGCAGAAGATGAAGATAGGATTGTTACCTGGGAGTTAGGTTACCTGGCAGAGGCGTCCCATGGTTTGTTCCCCCTCCTTGCTTTCGAGCATTTGAGATGGATTTGAAGGAGAGAAAGCATGATGTTGGAAACTGGTTAGGAAAATGAAAATGAACAGGTAGGGCTTTGAGGTCTACAGTCAGGTTCTAACCAATGGGTCAGACACTGTTAAATTAAACCATTGATATGAATTGGTGAATCCCTGAGTCACCATTTAATGCATAAGACATGAACGTAGGATGCAGGCTAGAAGTCAGTCTTTGCTGGACACTAAACCAGGATCATGATCTTGAGCACTTGTCTCGGAACACTTGATTCATTTCTAAAGGTCAGATTTGGAAAATAAAGCTTGATTTTTGAGTTCTGTTAACTAGCCTCAACTTAGGTGCAAATTTGAAATGATTTTACTTTGCTGTAATCATTGCCCTCAATTCTGTTGATTTTAATTTTCTTTTCTTGCTCAGTAGCCTCTTAAATGACATACTGGACAGCATCTGACATCTCCCAGTCACTTCTAGCTTAAAAAAGTCCCTCCAGAAAACTCCCAAACTCATTCTACAAGGCCACCATCACCCTGATACCAAAACCAGACAAAGATGTCCCAAAGAAAGAAAACTAGAGGCCAATATCACTGAACATAGATGCAGAAATCCTCAACAAAATACTAGCAAACAGAATCCAGCAGCACATTAAAAGGATCATACACCATGATCAGCTCAATATCGTGCAGCTCAATATCAACAAAACAGCCAAATCCAAAAATGGGCAGAAGACCTAAATAGACATTTCTCAAAGGAGATATGCAGATTGCCAACAAACACATGAAAGGATGCTCAACATCACTAATCATTAGAGAAATGCAAATCAAAACTACAATGAGGTATCACCTCACACCAGTTAGAATGGCCATGATCAAAATATCTACACACAATAAATGCTGGAGAGGGTGTGGAGAAAAGGGAACCTTCTTGCGCTGTTGGTGGGAATGTAAAGTGACACAGCCACTGTGGAGAGCAGTATGGAGGTTCCTTAAAAAACTAAAAATAGAACTAGCATATGACCCAGCAATCCCACTACTGGGCATATACCCTGAGAAAACGATAATTCAGATTGCAGCTCTATTTACAGTAGCCAGGACATGGAAGCTACCTAAGTATCCATCAACTGATGAATGGATAAAGAAGATGTGGCACATATATACAATGGAATATTACTCAGCTATAAGAAGAAACAAAATTGAGTTATCTGTAGTGAGGTGGATGGACCTAGAGACCATCATACTGAGTGAAGTAAGTCAGAAAGAGGAAAACAAATAATATATGCTAACAAATATATATGGAATCTAAAAAAAGTAAATAATGGTTCTGAAGAACCTAGGGGCAGGACAGGAATAAAGACGCAGACGTAGAGAATGGACTTGAGGACACGGGGAGGGGGAAGGGTAAGCTGGGATCAAGTGAGAGTGGCATGGACATATGTACACTACCAAATATAAAATCGATAGCTAGTAGGAAGCAGCTGCGTAGCACAGGGAGATCAGCTCGGTGCTTTGTGTCCAGCTAGAGGGATGGCATAAGGAGGGTGGGAGGGAGACGCAAGATGGAGGAGATATGGGGATATATGTACATGTATAGCTGATTCACTTTGTTATACAGCAGAAACTAACACCATTGTAAA